TTTAAGAGCCACCGGTATACAGCTGTTTCAGCCTATTGGGCATCGTCAGTACCGGGCAGGCGGTCCTCGATTGAAGACAAAATGAGAAAAAACCAAGAAAGTACTTGATAAAAATAGCTGCGTAACACACACACACACGTTGTTTGATTTATTGAACCGTTATTCTTAACTGTGGGGATTGCATATTTATTTGGGAGACTGTTGATAGGGCATTCCAAAAAATATGGTTTCGATGTGTGGAACAAACGGATTTTTGGCGCTACTTTCATTTTTCATATATATCTTCATAGAAAAAAAGTGAAGAATATTATTGATAATAATACAAAAAAGAAATTATAATTAGGGTTAATCCGGTGTGCCATTTGTCACAACTCTAGTGTTTCTATGCACTTTCATTGTACACAAAACAACTTTTGGGTTGAGATTTATTTAAGTGCTTGATATAAAAAGAAAACGACAGCTGGCAGTTCACAACAAACTAGTCGCAATAAAATAAGTCGTGCAAGTATGAACACTCGATACCATGGTTATTTCGCGATTCGCAATAAATATTCGGATTAACATAAACATAAGCATGAACAAGCTTGCATTGAGCAAGCAGATGGCTTCTGGTCTTTCAAAAATACTAGTGACAGGATGGAATTTTGACAACACTGTTATTTCGTTATTTGTATATACCAATAAAAACCAACCTTCTAACGAAAGAGAAAAGAGAGAGAGACCAATAAAACAAAACCTAAAAACTGTTAAAAAGTTTTTTGAAATAACTGGTTGGGAAAAATATTGAATGCCACCTCGAAAGGTTTTTGTGACCAAATACTTAAAAAACAAATTTTCAAAAGGCAATTTGTAGATAATTGTTTATATTCTATGAGGGATTCTTTGGAATAGGTAAGTTAAAAAAGAGAATTATCATGTTTGAAAAATAGAACAGTGTTTTGGTTTTTGGTATATACAATGAAGAATAAATACAAATAATCACCTCCCATGCAATTTTATATGGACTTTAGTAAATATGTTATACGTAACATTGAATTAAATGAAATTATTTGATGCTACATGGAGTGTTTTGCCTTCGCACAAGTCTATGAATTTTTGGAGTAGGTTGGATGAGAGCAAGTTGTTAGCATCCCTTCACCCCTAGTGCACTAGGGGTGATTTCTATCAATTCGTGGATGCAAGACATATCGCTACATTGGTGGAACAAGCTTCCAGGAGTGAGGCAGGCAAACATTTTCATATAGGAACTTTTGTCCAAATTCACAAAAGATCTGCTAAACCACAACCGCAAGGTAAGGGTAGTGGTAGGTTCATTAAATTGTCGGATCATTAAATGTTTGAGGATTATTGGCCTGGCGAAAGAAATTTCATGCAGGTTTTGGCAGGAGGAAGAAGAAACCGCACTACACATGATATGTGAATGCGAAGTCTAAGCAAGGCTGAGGCATGAGAGATGTGGAAATGACAAACCAGGGGCTATAACCTATATCTGATCCCACTATTGCTATCTCAAATTTCCTTTTTTTGCTCTACCGCATTCATTTCGAATGATATAAAAAAAAGGCATGGGAATTTTCAATACTGTTTCATATTTACTCATACACATAACTCAGATACATCAACTCCACACATCTTTCAAAAATTTGCAAGTAGAGGCGATCACCCATGCATTCCAGGGGTTTTGTATGAGCTAATTTTTCTGGAACAAAAATGTTTGTTTCTGATATTTTCTGGCAAATAAAAATAGTGGAAATTAACTGATTTGTTTAATGTGAGCCATGAATTAAGAGAATATGTATTTTTCTAATGCTGAGAAAGTTGATATGCTTTTCATATACGTGAGATGTTTGAGAAATGAGGCTGGATAACCAGCTTTGTATGGGAAATTGTACCTTGAGAGACATCAGTCATCCAAAAGATATTTTCAACGCATTGAGAGGAGTTTACAGAATCGTGGTTCCTTTGAAAAACCCTCAGGTAAGGTTTGCTCAGTAACTAAAAGAAGTGGCGATACTGAAATTGACGTTTTGGATAAGTTCAGAAGATATTCTCAGTAATAGTAAAGTAATTATTCAATTCAGGATTTGTGGAATATCGAGAAATTGAGAACAAAGAAGTGTTATTGAGAGAAACTGCATACCATAGTGCTATATCGACTATTTCAGTTTGAAAACATTTTTCTAGAAATGAATTTAGACCTTACAAAGCCAGAAAAATCCACTATTTGTGTTTACGGACTGTGATAGAAGAAAAATATTTTGTAAATGACTCCTCAGACAACATCGTCAGGATAGTTAAATCTGTAATAAAATATTATGGTGTGATGAGAGTAGATTCACTAATAACGGATAATTTAACAGAAATATTCATCATAACTGGCGACATGGAAATTCCTTCCTGCATAGAGCTACCAATTTCCAAGGAAGATGTGGATCAAATGTTATTAATTTAATTACATGTACATTTATATATACACACTTTGTCAACAAGATGTTATTCTTTGATATTGAAGCATATTTTAATTGATTGATTGGTTGACGTTTGGCTTGGTGTGCTAAACACCAATATTATAGGAACCTCCTTCTTTGAGATATCTGTAACGGGGAAATTATATTTAGAATTCTTGTCGAAAACTCTACTTGAGTTGTTGTTAGATTTGCCTTTGAACTTCTTATTTTCTACAATGGATTGAATTCTCCCAAGCATAAAGTAACTCCGGTATCTTGTGAATACTGTAGAAGTGCCACATATGATAGAATAGCATTCTTAAATCCACATTATGCTAGTGGAGGCTATGGTTGCATATACTGAACATGCTGCCAGCTAATAGAGTATAGTGGTCGAGTGGTATTAGACAGGATAATAGACACAAGACATCATCAAAAGAATCAATGATGAATCATTAAATCTTCGATTTCAGTCATCTTTTCTGAGAAAAGTAAGATGGTTTAATAAGCCTAGGTCTTTGATATTACAGAAGTGCCAGTGTATTGATTCATATAGCTGCAGAAGTAAAATGACCATAATTATTATTCTAACTCAAGAACTTTTAATATCTACCTTCAAAGAGAGCAATTACTATGAATTGTTCAAAAGTAGTCTTATTAATTGATTTCATTCTCAGAATTTTGTAACTCTAATTTAATTTTTCGATCAGTAAATGAAGACCATATTGTTGATTGGCCAAACATCAGTCAGGTTTCAGAATAAACCATTCATGTGAGTCTGCATTACAAGTCACACAAGGTTTTAAGATCTTAAAAGAGCTTTTGAGACAACTGATCACCACATATTACTAAATAAACTGCAAAGTATTGGTACCAGGGAAACTGTTTTATGGCTGACTGACTATTAATCACAATCTGAGCAAGTAACCAAAATAAAGGATTCACTGTCATCATCTCGCGAGTTCGTTTTCGGGGTACCTCAGGGGACTGTTTCGGGACCTATATTATTTTTAATCTACCTGAATGATATAGACACCATCCATGGCTGTGATTTCATGACCGTTTTTGCAGATGACACTTTGCTCTAAATTTCAGGAGATAATATAGAAACATTAGCTGATCAAATTATTAATGAACTAAGAAATGTTTACAAGTACATGAATCGCAATAAAATCAAACTTAACACCTCCGAAACAAAATATATGATCTTATCAACTAGTTACAAGCTGTCACTCATCAACAGATACGACATAAGATTACAAATTGCAGGTGATGAAACAGAGTTTGTGAGTGAATTCAAATACTTAGGTTTCGTGGTAGATAATCGTTTATCTCTTTACGCTTATTTTATACACACACACATACACACACACATATATATATANATCTATTGTTTTCTGAAAATTTCTCTTTATGTGTATACAGAGACATAAATCATTTCAATAAACAATAGTCAAATGTATTATAACTTATATACATACCTATGATTTCTGTATTTGTTTTTGTCTGTTTTGGAATCATTAAACCATTTTGGAATCATTGTAAAATCATTTTTCCTTCTTCTAGTATTATTTCATCATTTTTGTTATTACTTTGTCATTAATTACTATATACATTAGTGATTATGTGAAATGAATATTTTATAATAATGTATGCATATTAGGGTGTTCCTAAAGGAAACAATAAATATTATTATTATATTATTTCAGAAATAATATGGCTGAAAATACATTTATTTTATTGGACCTACCTGAAGAAAACACTACAGGTGAACAATGGAAGAAACCTGTTTGTAATCCATTTGTTAGTGATATGTCTCCATGCCATTTCAATGAATACGGGAGGTTGTCGATGTCTTTTCAAGATGTTGGAAAAGAATCACTAGGAATACTACCAATGGATTTTGAGAAAGATGCCTTAAGTTTTTCAAACATTAGTTTTTCTGCTAACAGAGAACTTGGCTTCAAGAGCATTTTCAATATATCACAAAATGGCCGAGAATCCCTGGATAGTGGGAGAGAGTCACTGGGAATTTTACAAATCAACAAACTTGATGATAGATTAGGAAATGAAGATGAAAACATTCCAGAAATCATGTTGTCAACTATCCCGGAAAATAGTGAGGTTTTTGGAAATGTCTTAGATACAGCTTTTCTGTTTCCGAGTCCAAGAAAGACATTGTTCTCTAGTACTTCTTCTCAAAACTCGGCTTTTCCATCATTCAACAGCGGTAGTTTGGAGGAACCATCTAAAATATATTCCCTATCAAGAATTGAACCAGCAAGCAGTATTTCAAGTATGCTAGATTTCAACTCTGTTCCATCTGAATTAAATAAGGCGAAGATGATGAGTCCGGAAGCTATAGAAAAGCGCTTGCGAATACATTCTACACCCGGTGAAAATGAATTTCATCCATCCGCCAGTAAATTTTTTTGGAGCACTGGCAAAAAAATTAAAAGCAAAAACTTATGCAGGAAAAGCTTTCATGCTGAAAACATTGAATTTGATGGGGAGAAAGAAAATATACTTGTAAGTGAATTTATCTAAAAATAAAATTATATTCTCAATTAACAATTGTTCTAAACAAAAGTTGATTAAGTAGTCAAAATCTGTTGAGTTCATTCAGATGTATTTGTTTATCATGAAATTATTGTCGTTTTTTCAGCATGACTCCATTTTGATAGAAGGAAAACATATAGCTCAAAAAATTGCCGATGGATCTATTTTGAATAATGGTTGGTATTTTTCTTGGATCTAATGAAATAATGTAACTTCCTTAATTTGGAAACAGAACACAAGGCGTAAATATCTGTTTTCCATAAGTCATGGAATTGGCCAATATTTGATGAAAATCTATGTTAATACAGTGCCTTCATTTCAAAACTTCCCACCCCTAGTACTTCGTTTAGCAGGGAGAATTTGCCGTAGGCAAAAAACACGTCAATTTAGATATCGAGGGGAAGTTTAAAACCAGTGCCAGTGGTATTTTAGGTTTAACACCCTTACCCCTAGCTACCTCCACTTAATAATTTTAAATGGCACCCTATCTTGTAACCCATCATTTTAACAATCTTAAAAATCCTCACTTAACCCCGTTCAGAAAACTGAAATTGATTGATCTGTTCTCGTAAAATAGGGCAAAAAGAAAATGAATTATAACAAAATGCAAAACTTTATGGAACCGTTACCGCTGACTCAATAACGGTATATTTATGTCTATTTTTTACACAGAGTTTTTTTGCTATAGCTGAAAGTGAGATAAGGCCACACAGTTGCTTCTTGGCATCAGTTACAATTAAATGGTGAAAACATTTATATCAGAATTAGTTATTCCTGATTTTAAACTGTTTGTCAAGTGGTGTCATTTGCACTGACAGTAATACAAATCGTAATGGTGTACACTTTACAAAAAAGAACTGAAATTATTTTTATTTAT